TCGTTTATAGTTTCACCTGAAGCAAGCACAATCCAGTCTGAATTAGTGAGAGTCTACTTGATTGACGACATCAGCCTCTTTGCTGTGTTGTGCAGTCAACTGGTACCAGTGGTTCATTCTTCGGATGCCTTATTTGTGCAAGTCGATTTTGTGTCACTTCATGTCCCATCTGAAACCTGACTTTCTTCATATGCGTCTCATTTTGTCCACCTTTTACCTCAACAACAGCCTTCATTTATTTGAATCATTAAATCACTTTTTTGATTCTAAACATTGGAAGACCCAGGTTGTGAATACTGCCGTCATTCCGTGCTTGGTTTCAGCCTCGTACATGGAACCAATAAAAGTTTCAACAGGGGCGAGGTCACATACGGTCGATTTGCGGTCAAGCGGTGCACTTCGCATTTTTATCGGTGTGCCGTCCTCGGTTGATAACAATAGCTTCAAGGAGCTTGGGAATCAGAAACCAAAGTTTGCGAACCCGTTACGTTTTATGGTTCCTCATCAGTCTACCACACCACAAGTTAACGACGCAAGTATAAACAAAAATAAGCACACTAGTTCAAATGCCTAGATAGTTTGAGTGATTAAGTGAGGTGATTGGTGCTACGAGCGATCAAAGGTATGTGGGTGGTGTTGTCCACACATGTGTCAGATTGATATGGGGCCGGGGTAGACTGAGTGGCTTGACTTATTTCATGGCCATGAAGCTGAGTGTCGATAGTTCCGACCGATGTCAGTAGACAATACTTACTCGCTCGTGTGTGGCTCCGGAGTACGCAAGAAGTGGAATAGAATGCCTCGTGCGTTCTGACCTCGTGTTTCGAATCTACCAGAGGTGCAGACAGTACAGTTACTATTGTTTAAGCCAGTCCGACTCCGCTATGTAGACAAACTAGACATTTCTCTCCAGCTCTCTCTTTTAGTCCCCTGGCGATTCTTCCGCTATATCTTGGTCGACATGAGCAAGAGAAAGTAAACGGGTAAAGCTGGTCCTGTCTTTGCGTTATTGATTCAGTGTTGACCCGAAATAGAAGCTGGTCCGTAAGTTTCTCGCCTAGTTGATATGAGTATTAACATTATAGGAGCTATTAGATGTCGATTCCGTTGCTGCGTCCCCTTTGAACGCTAGCGATAGAGAAAGCGGTTTCTTTCCAACTGTAACGGATCGTCTCTCGGGGCTCTATATTACATCAAACGAACTTATCTGGATAGCGATTTCTCGACTCATCTCGCCCAATCATTGAGATACCATGTATTTGTGTAAGCACTTGGATGTGTTTGCTGATTTGATCCTCCAGATTAGTGAATTACAGTGGATTTCATGTCAATTGTGGGACGTGCACTGCCTTTACATCATTCATCACTGAACACATGGCTAACGGTTTCGTCGAAACCATCAACCTTAGTGTAGCAGCATTGCATACTTTTCCAACTGAAGCGTTCATCCCTTTCAAGTGAACCGAAGCTTATTAGATACGTGTGTGTGATTGGCTAGGATGTGCGACGCGACGACATCTCACAACCTGTCTCCTGTTATCTTTAGTTATCTTCCGCTATACCAACCCCTGCCCCTGCTCATAATTTGGGAATTCGCTCCAAACGTATCTGGTTCTAGGAACAATCTGCCCCTCACTTTTGGTAATACATTACCATTTTTAAAACTAATGTCCTCCGAATTTCGTGATTCCGGACACCTCATTTCTCTGATTGTTATCTGCTGTTCAATTCGTTACATTTGCTTTTGTCTCTCTTGTTCGGCGTCCGCGTATGTAGAGAAAGTATATTTATCAGAAGCCACGTTATTCGCAGGCTCGTAATTTCGCTGTTTGAGGACAGGTCTTCTTTATCCAAACGTTACTCAATTAATTTTACGGATTCACATAGTTGAAAATCAGTTGGTTACCTTTTTACCATTTGCGATACAACCATGTTTAGTCGACTCCTGTCCAGCTCCGTAACCCTGCATACGGCTTTATGCCAAATTATTTCGGTGATATGTTCACTTCTGCCTGATGTGAAATGTATCGTTTTTCTCTGCATTGTTATCCGGCAACCTACATGTGACACGGTCCGCTGTGGCGCAGATCCAGCTGTTTTGTACTAGTTCTCTCCCAGACGTTTAGTAGATTTCGACGACTTAATTCTATCTTATCACTTATCTTCTTCATACTTTCGGCGAGCAACTGATCACAGTCGAACGCTCTGTATTGGTGCACCCGCAGTTAAGCCAGCTTGCACCTCGCTGTCGAAATGCACTCGACTCTCATCAGGTGTTGTCGGTTATTCTACAGTCGGCTCTCCCATGCGTAGTGAACTACCGCAGGCTTCATTCACTACTCTCCTGGATCTCTGGTGGCTTGTCTTCTTATACGCTTTGTTCCGTTCGCATCATTAATATCCTCTACTTGAGTCGAGCTTCCTTTAATTCCGACTCTTCTGGGCAGCACTGTGGTGAGTGTGCCTGTTCGGTTCAGCGCTGACTGATTTCCGCCCCTCTCCCACATTTACCACACCATTATGCCTGATATTTCCTTAGTATTTGCAGCTGAGACCCTTGACCACTATGTCGCTTGGCATTGGAGCTCCTCAAATGAATAGAAGCACCCTCCTTGTTTACTAGCTATCCCAAAATTTTTGCAGCACTCCCACATTCATGTCACATTATATGGCCATGACACGACCATGGCTATGATACGAACTTATCCACCTACAATTATAATTCACCAACTTATCTGAAAGCCAACATGATACACAGTTAATTCAGTGCTATCCGGATTCTCTGGAAATTTCTTTCAATCTCTCGTGCCATCATCCCCCAGCAGTTATCGTTGTGGTTACGATCGCATTCCAGAAAACATCTCCGAAGCGCCCATATTCATCTTTTTGCAATTATTGTCTGCAGCTTTCAAACATCGGGTTTCGTCCGATCAGAAATTGTCGCAAATATACAAACTTCACCGTATTATCGTTGCTTTACGTTTCAGTCTCACCCCGTGTGGCCTAACCGTCTGGCCATTGCGATCCAACGTGATAAGTGCGATACTAGTGAACACAACGGCACTTTACTTGTAGGTACATCCGATACACAATACTTCCGAGAACGATTGTCACGATGGTAACTTGCTATGTCCTATCGTTAAATAATCTAAGCTCATCATCCAAGCTCATCAGGTGATTTGGTCTCACACGTTGACTACTGGTTCACTTTCATTTACTTAAGATTTATCTAAGTAGGACTGAACTTAGCCAGCTGAACATTTCCTGAACTTGGTTGAGACAGCCGGTGTTTTAATAAGATGTTGCACGTCATTGGCGAACACAAGATTCCCGTGTAGATTCGGTAAACCAATTAAAGATGTTCGAGAATCCGGGACTTATATTACTTGGCGTAGTGTTGCTAATTAGAGTGGTTCTTCTGCATTATGCTCCCAGAAACTACGGAGAAAACCCAGTTAGAGATCAATTCGCATGCTTATCTGTGTTACTAAACCTACCATACAAACAGTAAAACGCCTGTAAGTAGACCACTCAGGGGACTGGACCAAAGTGGTTAAAATATGGAGGTCCCATGCAAATCTTTTCCACTGTGCGTAGTATAGTGTGAAATTTATTTTCACATACACCCTGTTTCGAACATATTAGATGAACTCTGACATAACGGCAAACACACAATCAATCCTAAGGTGTTATACAAATAGACACGCAGCGTATTTTCGTCAAAGCTAATTGAGCGTTCGAAGAAAAAGTCGATATTTGTTTCTTTATTTTATCACAAACGTGACCGAACAAAGTGTTCTCAACACAGAATACACTACTCAGCATGCCTGGAAAATTTTTTCACAACAGATGACTCCAGATACATTAAAAGACATTATCTTTTGGAGTTTCTGTCATGTTCTTTATTATCAGGCATTTTTTGTTTGTTCCCGTAGGAGTGTACCTTAGTAGTGCGCGTCTATCGGATCCATCAGGATTCGAACCCATGATCATCAGCGGCTTGCACCGCCAGTCAGCAGCTTATGCCACTGGGCCACGGGGACAGCTTCGGACCATCATGATTTGCAAGCTAACTGCGATTTAGCGCGTCTTATCCTCCGCTGTTATACAAGCTACGAACGTTGTAGAGGACGGGATTGGCCCCGAAAGACACGATGTTCACCGACAGTAGCGGTGGCAGTGCAAGCCGCTGGTGATCATGGGTTCGAATCCTGATGGATCCGATGGGTGCGCATTAATGGTGATGCTCAACAAGCTGAAACTGCAGTCTGATGTGGATGACTATCTGATTTGGAAATGGCTGCGACGACCCCTCATTTGACTGTAACAAAATCATGAGTACATTACATTGATTGCCTTCCTGCCTGTTTGGTCACCGAGTTTGATCATATCAGTTCCCCACTTCACAAATATCGGTTCAGCTAACAGTTTGAACTCTTAAATTGCGTTGTCTAGCGGTCTCCAATGTGTATGGTGCATTGGAGAGCTATCATAGATCTTGGAATTAGACCTATTATCTGTCACTTTCGGGTCGCATAACTAGCCCCCATCAATGTTATCTTTCTTTTGACCTCTACCGTTGATAATACGTCTCATGAATGATGGATATGACAACTTCCGCTTATCATAATACTTAGAAATACATTTTATGCATTTATTTTTTTAACATTGTTCTCCGCTCACCTGCCTATCGTCACATTGTGTTGAATACCTCTTCGGATATTGTATATTTACAATGCTCTAACTTTTTGCTAGGTGAAACTAACATTTGTGACCATCTGCCCCTCCAGTTTATTTCCCCCAAAAGTGCATTCTCCTGCTCCTTCTTCATTTTCGCAAACACCCATACTTTCTGTTTTTATGGCGACCATCTTCACCTACTTCGTGCTCAACTAACCTGTAAGTAATGGATCGACACCATTTCCCATTGACATCCATTTAGCATTCAACGTCCTTTCTGCGCATTACTAACTCCGTATCAACCTTTCTACACTTTCCAGGCTCTGCGCTTGGGAGAGTTCTCCAAGCACGATTTAGACTTACAATCGGGTTGGTACATTCCAACCTCATTGTCGGTTTGTGGTGGCTCATTTCTCTTCTTCATTCTGGAGTTTATGCTTCGACGCATCCGGGTCCGCTCTACAGTAAGTGTGGTTGTCTTCTGTTTTCATGGCAGCAAAGTCCGTTAAATTAATCCCCAATTATTCACGGAGCCTCGATTCAAGCGAGTCATATGCTGTCTTTGTTCAATCAACCTCGATAGCGGTTGCTCTTTCAAAATCCTTTTTCGTTTCGATTGGGGCACATTCTTTCCAGAAAGGAAACACAGCTGTAATCATGCATCAGCGACAATGCTAAGACAGTTTTACAACAACAATACATCATTGTGGCATCTCTGTCTGTATTTGTCGGCTCACACCAAACCATCACGTTACGGAACCACTAAGTCCTTTGCTGCAGATTGCGGCGTTTTCATTGCCAAACGATTGTACCTAAGCGGATCGGAACTACTAGTTGACTTGCTGAACTTTCCGTGATCGGCTTGAAGCTTCCATTTGACGTCCATCAGTATAGCTCATTTTGCTGTAAACTTCGATTTTTGTGTTTGTGACTAGCTTCTTCTGATAACTCCTCACTTGAATTGGCGTTGCGTTTTCGTGTTATTGGAGTTTATTCGTGGTCTTGAAGTCGCTGTTGTATCCTCCCGTCGCTTTCTGTTCACCTAGTTTTGTGCACGAATTTATTTTCTGCTCCCACCGGCAACGTTGCAAAGTTTGAAAGTATTCATGCGAACACAGGATATCATTTCACAGGACTTCGCATATCCGGGCATCGGTTGCGGCAAACTTACGCGAAGGTCCCAGATTGGCTTTATTCAAAGTGATTTTGGGTATCATTAGACTCTCTTGACCTCCCTTCCCCTGAGATCGGTTACAACTGGGACGTCACCTTGGTCTATCCAGAACGATAAGGTGTCTTTATATCATTTGATCTAAGCAGCTAATCGAGACTTCTGATAGCAGCCGTGGAGCACCAAGTGCATTGCGCAACATTACGCATCTCGTTTGTTTTCTGTGAGTTTGGTGTATAGCCGACACTGGAATGGGGTATTCTCTGTAGCGTCATCGGCACTCCATTCTCTCTTATTGCCACGTTTGGGCGTGTTGGTGGGTCGTTTCGCCTAGCGGTTTTGCATGGGAGTGCCGGCTTAAACGTAACAAGCCTGTCTTGTGCTTTGACGGCACAGGTTCGACCCAATGTAGGGGCAGAGGGAACCTCGCAGTATCCGTAGCCCACGTGCGACTGGTGGTGGTTGTGCGGCAGCAAAGTGTCGGTACTGTGTGCTGGCGTACTGTATATGCCTTCTTTTTGCATGGGAGTGGAACAGCGGAGAACAAGTATGCTTGAGTAGTTAGGGTCTCTAAAACGAGAACGGTGCACTACTTTCCGCCGCAAGTCTTTCTAGGTAGTCAAACGAAGTGAAACTCTGTGCCCTATTATAGAAAGGTGGAGGAGGGCCAAGAATTCGGGAATCGAAAATGGGGGAGACGATACGGAGGCGATACGGATGAAAAAATGTAAGAGTGGAAATTTAATGGCGGGATCGCCTAAGAAATAGCATCCTCACTCGTATCCACGCAGTTCGATGCAGCAAACAGCGTCCCTTTGATTATCCACTGTGACGGTCGGACCATCAAGAAATCATTTAGAGGATTTTTCACTTTCGTATTCGTGGTGGTGATGTTTCGATGTTGCTCTCTGCCAACATTGCAACCTCTCCAATTCGGATACGATCGTGGTCATCGAAATGTCCAAGATCAACTTCAGAGTAAATTGTGGATTCAACAGAAGGCAAAAGGCAGCAGCAGTACACGGTACTCCATACGGACACTTTGCTATCCCGAAACCACCACCGGTCGTAGGTGAGCTACGGATACTGCGATGGTCGCCCTTCCCCTACGCAGGCTCGAATCCGTACCGTCAGATTGCAAACCAAGCTTGTCGCCTTTAGACAACGGGCCGGTCCGGATTCATTAGAGATAGCGTGTTCCAATCCAACCACACTGCGGTACTCCTAACCCCACTTTTAATTTATCATTGCATTGCTCAGGCAAGTTAACGATTACGGTTCTCTACCGAAACCTTTGGTCACATACCTGACCTGGATGTTTGAGAGCTGGAGTCCGTTTTAATTAGTAAGGAGTCATGCTCTCTCCAAATTCCACCTGCAGTGCCAAGTGACCGAGTTTGTCTTTTATTTAATCATCGACCAACCTGGTATGAGTGACTGTGAAGGTGCAAGAAGCACCACTCAGTCCATCTCAGTGGAACATTGATGCTCGCAGACTATCGTACCACGAGAAGTCCAATCTCATTGTGATGCTCATCGGATGAAATATACCTTGGTCACATAGCTGCATTTCACTTTCCTGCGGGATTAGAATCGAATCAATGGGGTTCTGTTTGATGTGCCTACTGAAATTGACCGTTCTGCATCTTCGTATGCTTGGTTACTCTTGTAAGTGCACTAGAAACTCACAATATCCCTGCATTTCCTTGTGTTTCCGTCGCGAGGAAACCTCTTTTCCGTCGGTCACGTACCATTCTCGTGTTCGCGCTACGCACGCCATTGGTGACTATTGATCCCTCCCTCAGGCATGCGTATACTGGCTATCCATCCTCAACGCCGATCCAAATTTAAGCGTTTATGGACTGATATGCCCAGTATTATACCCTCGTTGGATACAGTAGATGACTATGGTTTTAAAATTGCAAGTGTGTAGCTAGACCGCTCATGGATTGAGGTTCCCCATCTGATCATTCTTAGCTTCCTCGTTTATTTACTCTTAATGATCCTTGCATTCCATATCTATAAAATCACAACTCGGCATCAGCGGCATTCTACTTACAACAGATCCAAAAGCATTCACATGTGCGCATATGAATGCAGTGTGCTGGACCTTTTTTGTTTGCTCTCTAGGTTTTCAGTATGGAATTGTGATCCATCGCGCTGTCGAGTCTCACGTCTCCGTGATGGTAAACATCTATCATGTTGCGACGAAAAGAATGATCGATAACCTAACCATCTGACCACTCGAAGTGGTTGGAAAGGTGGCTCTTAGCGTTTTCTGATCGAGGAAAGACTACTTTATCTCATAGGACTGAGTAGAATAATGTACACATATGGAGTCCACTAATTCGCATATCGTTTCTAACCGCTTTACTGGCTGCTCACGTTGTCTATGCTAAGTATACCTAGGAGAACCATCGTTAATACAAGACTTTTTGCTATGCACCGTACTGTCCAGTCCGATGCGACTTTCTAGATCACCTCATTTCTTTACTGTTACGTGTTAGCATCCCAAGCTGCTGTAGTATGGAAAAAACTGAAAATACCATTCTATATTCAATAGAGGGATTTTCTACTAGTGTAAACCATTGAAACAAACTTAAGTTGCAAACTTTGGTGAAACTTCTGCCCTTTTTATGGTGGACAGCTTTTGAGCTGAATACGAGAGATATTCTAAGTTTATATATATACAATTCTATCGATCAGACACTTATGATGACAATGTGTAAGAATCTGTCCGCAACCTGTCAGCACTGTGGTCGTACGTGATATCGTAAAAAATGCATGGCTCACCATAACTTTTAACTCACAAATGTGAGATGTCATTGGCGGTGGTCAATCGTTCTCTGAATCTAAGCAATGGATAAACGTAGTTGCGTCAATGAGTCCAACTGCTGCACTGAATATGATTCTTCTATGTTCTCTGGCAGACTGTTCCAATCATTGGCCATTCGCCGTTCGAAACACGGGTTGAGGAACTTGTTTCAATTTGGGCACCACAAACGTATACCAGTGTCCGCATGTGCTACATCGTTTTCGCAAGTGTAGTAGGGATCTGAGCATGGGGAAGTTACCTGGATGTAGAATACTGTAAATCATGATCAGGTCGATTTCCACTCGACGATTGGCTAAGGTGCACAGTCCCGGTTTTTTCGCACTTCCTACGGTAAACTCCGGAAACTGTTCGATCTTCAATGCATTGCCCTGTGTGCTCGGACAGTAGGCGGCCGATCCATACTTAAGAGTTGGTTTTGTGATAAAGAATAAGATTGGCAACCTTTTCATACTAGGTGCAGAAACTGCCTTTGAGTACCCAGAACGGTTGCAGTCAGTTTCTTGTTGTCCACGGACTTCAAATCGCAGCGTGAGAGTGCCTATGTCTTTCACAGAAGGCGTGTTATGTGGCAGTTGGTTCTTCGGGGGTATAGGTTCGGTCAGCATCACCTTTCCCCAGGCTCTTGAATACCGACTTGGCTGCGTTGACCGTGAAACGGAATTCTGCAGACAACACGGAGACGCGGATGAGGTCTTGTTGAAGTAGTACACCGTCGTCAGTGTTGCTAATAACTCCAGATCTTCAGGCCATCTGCAGACACGGTACACGCCGACTGAGAAGGCCTAGGTAGATTGTTCATATAGATCAGGAACAAAGGAGACCCCGGTATCGTGTGTCTGGATATAGTTCATCTCAGTCAAACAACTTATCCGGGCACCGAAGTGCGGCGGATCCAGTTGTAACGACTCACGTCGTTAGCATAATAAACAACAACGGCAAAAACATAGGTTAAGCGCAAACCAAGTACATAAAAAATGTAATCGAGATGAAATGAAATGGAGATTAACAGCGAGATGCAAGAACGTCAGTTGTTGCTCGACTATGCAGTGTCCTGAAGGGTCTCCAAGCACTGTGTGGATCACTCCGGGGTCCCGATCCACGAAGACAACACGCGCCAGCCCGATCAATTTTCTTGGTTAGTTTGTTCATGCTTTTATTTGACGTTATCGAGTGGCCACCTCACAGTTTCAAAGAAAACAAGAGTCATCAGAAGTACGCCGGCATACTGTACCGACGCTTCGCTGCCACGCGACTACCGGTCGCGCATGGGCTGAGGGCTACCAGCCAGGCGCGCAATCCTTTCAGCCACCGGCCCAACTTGGTGCAGCCACGGCGTATAATGCACGCCGAGGATGTCGGTACACGAGCATACGGGGGACATGACCTAGTCAGAGTATGCGGTTAGAATTCAGCAGACACTCGAGTGAGGCACCAGAGGGTTTTTTGCCAAAAACCAGCTGGCGAACGTCAGCATTAATCACCCGGTTTTCCCCACCACATGTGAGCGATACTCCGAAATCACATGTGGTTAAACACAGCCTGGTCTCTGATCCACACAGCAAGACCTACCTTATCTTACCGTTATACACCCTTTCCTTCACTGCCAAGTTGACATCTTGACGTTTCCGTAGATGGTTGAACTTCTGCAAACCACGTAGGCCTTGCTGGTACGCGAAGCAACTTATCAGCGACGTGACCACAACTATCGACATGGCAACAAAGGTAAGTGAACCAATCCACAACTTTGTGACTTTGCTGAAGGTTCGTCGCAGCTGTACTCAGACAGACAGCCACCACACATCCAAGAAAGCGCTAAGCGGCCGTTTCTTCCTATTGGGACTCGCCAGTAGCGCGTACTCGCCTAATCCGACACGATTCGATCCGACGACCTTACTCTTACGAGCCAGCGAATTATGCCACTTAGCCATGTATGACGGCAGTGAACCGCCATGACTGATATTTGGCTGCTTTATAGCACGACTCATCCTCCACTGTCATCCGTGTTATGAACGTACAAAGGACAGAGCTGGCCCCCAGAGCAACGACGTCCTTTGAAAGCCGCCACCAATCGAACTAGCATGAAAGCGGCTGTGGTGGTTACTGGTATTTAGTGAGTAATAGGGGGTTTATTTTGTATTGGTGAAGATTCCTCAATCGTTGGTATAGATCAGAAGGAGAATTTAGCATACTCTGTAGAGAAACGTGTATGTCAAAGGGTGTGTTGGAAGTAAACAAGAGAATAAGAAGAAAATAAGAGAATCTGTTTTCACCATTGCTGAGTGCACATGTGAATATGATATGTAACAGGTAGAAGTCGTTGGACGGTCTATTGAAATTCGCAAGAGGCATTACAGAGGAGTTCGTCAACAACGATGAGGATAGGACTAGGACTAAGTAAATGAAAATGGAAGGAGTCCCATAGAATCCACTACCATATGACGGACAACGGTCCATTTTCGACACAACAATCCCCTTGTCGGTGGAGTACATCACTGAGCGAAAAACCAACCAGTTTTCCAAGTCAATACTTGCGTATCACATTTTATTGTCGGAAGGTGTTGATTAAACTATCCTAGCCAGTGGGTTTCAACCAGTGAAAATGTGGCGGCAATGTCACATCAAGGTAAGTTGGTTCAAACCAAAGGAATCGAGGGTGTCATATATGCAGCATCAAAAGGGAGCAGGGGTACACCGTACAGACGCTTCGCTGCCACGCGACCGCCACCGGTCCTGGGTGGGCTGGATATACCGCTAGGTCATCTGCATCTACATGGATTCGAACTGGTGACCTCCAGATTACAACACTGGCGTGTTACCCTTTCGACCACCGGCCGACTACGATGCAGCATCAACCACAATACGGTATTTTTACTTCTCCCTACCAATACACTAGCGTTGTAAGGCCTATTCTTTGACGTGAACGGGAGACGTTATGGTGACGCGACGTATTTCCAGTTAAACTTGCTGACCACCTTTTAGCAACTCGATAGGGTGCTTTCTTTCCTGTACTACAGAAAACACAAACGCGGTGGGTGAACGAGGCTCCCGCATTTGGAGAGTATCAGTTTTGCTCACTTCCAATACCGCAATACAATGTAAACTATGGTCTTCAGTGAGCTTGTGTGCCGCAGTCCACACACATGGTGACTACTCCAAAACCCCGTAATGTAGGATCTCCACCCATCCGAATCGCACACTTTCGAGGTTGGGCATATTATCCGTTCTACGGTAACATTCGGGTTGGCAAGGAGGCGTATCATCGGCCGAATCTTCTTTCACTAAACTACTCACTGCGAGTCGTTGTCAATCAAGGCAATATCACCATTATAGTCTTGTTTGGTTGCGTACACCAAATTTGGAAATTTGACAACACTCAGCAAGGCGCTTCAATTACAACGTGGTATCGAAAGGGGGTATATGGTACCCCATATCGTACGCCGTTGGTGACAAAGAGATCATGTTTAGTCTCCGGTCCGCCTAAATCTGGGAATATTACGCTACATAACCGGGGATGTACTCTTTCGCAACAAATGCTATAAATTAAGTCTTTCGGCTGTCTCTCATCCCGGATACCTACAAGATAAAATCTGTAGATAAGGTCCTTTAAATATGATAGCATTCAAGAAGTGAGGTTTGACCCACAACGCATCTGCAGCCAGAGTTTGCGCTTCACTTGAACCGGACTGCTTGTTGTTGCTCTGCATAAAGTGATGTATGTCCGTAGTTTGAAGGTTGCTGCGAGTGAGCTAATTCCACTATCATTGTCATTTAAGATGCGACCACTTATTTTTAAACTTGAAAAATATTCGGCACACCTTCTTGATGTATGTATTGAAAAAAAGACAATGCCTACGTATCGTTCACCGCAAACATACACGCCCATTTTCTGGAGAATGTATGTCTACACCAAATGTGTTTTCTCTCTTTAAGTTAACTGCACGAATGTAAGCTTTGTGCTCCGGGTGCGATACTTTTTTGGATGCACACCTCTACAAGATTTCCCATAATTATGGGTCACACCGGTAGCCCGGGTTGGTTGCTCACATGTTGATCGTTTCTCCGAGCTTGATAAAGGGATTGCATACGTCTCACCACCATGCGAGGTGACATCCTCAGTGCGGGGAATAAGCAGGATTATGCACTGCATATCACCGCACTGAAGATCTCGCCTCGCATGGTGGTGAGACGTATGCAGTCCCTTTATCATGATCGGAGAAACGATTAACAGCTAAGGGTTACACCGCTAGTGTTCAGTGCGATTCCAACTACGCTAAAATAGCACCGTTTGTTACTCGGTAGAGCGATTGACTAAATAGACATTAACTTTTGTAATGTTTGCACAGTACAAGCCGCATGCTTCCTATCTCCTATAAGTGTTGGGACTTTCAGTTTCCTCCTTTTCCCTTGATCTACTACTGCAATCAGTCAGTGAACCAATGTTGTATCCGATATACAAGCGCCTGAGTGCCGTACATAAGTTCATCCTTTGGACTATTCACACTTTGCAAACATTTGGTGGATGCTTGCGTCTCGTTTGGTTGGGTGCAAATGATGACACAGATGATCTGAAGACATCTTATGTCCGCGCGCATCTTGACAGTTATCTGAAGTACCGTATTGCTGCTACCAACTACCTCAAATTCTTTGCTACTGGCGACCCAGTTCTGGTGTACAGCCCTCTGTCGCTGGCTGCAGTTGTCCGTTTTTGATGAAGTTCCAACTTTGCATTAATCACTATTACTAAACATTTGATAGTACCATAAAGTTCACAATATCATCTGTGTGATATTGAATTGATTGTTTGTGAGTGTACTCACTGCCCTAGCCGGTTGTATGTACGAATAATGTCGTACAGCACGTTCTACGGCCTCCGCGTTGGCTCTCACGTCTGGACTGCCAACTGTGAGAACTAGAGTTTCGATCATCTCTAGTGAGCGGAAACCACCGTAAGATCTGATTTGGATCCATTAGTTAGAGACACCTTGAGCTGTGAGAGGAACTCGACACAGTGGTTGACGTCTTGTCTCGGTCACTAGGCCAGAGCTTCACAGCAGCGCTTGGACTGATTCTCTTCTGCCTATAATGCTGTGCGGGTCATTCCAATTTCTTCATGCTCTGCACTTGGTTGAACTGTTTAGGATTACTTTTTAATCGGACAGATGCCACGAATCGGAAAATCTCCGGACAGCTGTTTAATCCGTTCACAATTCTTGCTCTTCAAACGTAGTTGGGCTTTGTCGATTTCTACTTCGCCCGATCATCGTTGTTTCGACTCTGAGTCATCGTGCTAACTTCCTATGGGTTCCCCTTTACGATACCTAGCTTGTTGCGGTCCCAGTGATCTTTCCTCTGTCAGGTATTCTTAGCCTCTTGCACCATAAGTAGCATGGCGTTCAGTGTAAGAAACGCATTCACTTTTCGTTACTCGGCTTTGACGCTTTTCACTACTCCTATCACTGATAGTGGACGAGTTGTTGCGTGTATTGCCACATGATTTTCCTCTGGCTTTCACCTCTATACACATCATTGATTGGTAACCGCCTGAGTTCTGAGACCAACATCTCGTGTTGCGCATTTTCCCACTAACTTTCATGTGGACTATTCGCCTGACTTCACTATTTCTCTGTTTTGCGTGCGCGCCTCAGTTTGCCCCTCATAGCACTTTGATCTCTCTGCGCGACTCGTTGGACAGCCATACTAACACCCCTGTCACCGTGTCTCGCACCTATGGCCCAAAAGAGTTGGAGCGTGATATATCCAAACATGGGGACGCGGATTACGCGATCGCTTCGTCCATGTTGACCTCCAACGGATCAGTGACAGTCCGATCTTCGCAATGGTCGAACGAAAAGACAACCGCGGAACGTGGTTCGTCACCGTTGCCGATGAGTTCACCTTCCACTCATGTGAGTTTCGTTATTATTCCTCGGTGAAGATAAAGAATCCTTAGGCCATTTTCTCATTCTACCCTGAAACTTGGGTCTTCCTTAGTTCGCACACTTCACATCAAGTTAAGTCAATCATGTGAGCTTTTGTGTACTTTCGCTGAACTAACACGCACATCAACATGTGGTTTTAGCTCGTCTCACTTTCGTTATTTTGTGTGCACAACGTTCTAATTCACTGATGATTAGAGCTGGTAAGCAAGCTATGCGTTTCAGGGAAGTATCGGCACTTCATATTACAACACAGCCCTGTGATAGCCGTGGGCTTATACCGATGGAAGTGTATTTCATTACCACTAATATTAAATGGTCTACAGTCTTCCTCGTTACCCACGATTATATTCTAGTGGTGTATTTCAGGAAATTGATTGGTAGTATTGGAGGATTTAAATGATCTACATTGGCTTTGCCACATCTATAGCAATTGGACGATTATCACCGGATAGCCGTTTCATCCTTTCAGGACTCGTCAATCGTGCGTATTCTAGTATCCAATAATGGGCTCATAGGAGCACGGTTTCGAGCTCCCGAGTGTATGTACCTCGCGATCACTTCCCGAAAGAGGAAACATTTATCCATTGTATTTTTCCCCAGTGTTGGTTGACCTGTCTGATTAAGACGAATACAACGCAATCACTGACATTGCGGTTTCATTTTTCTTTTGTGTTACTCGCAGAGATGCGTGCGGATTATGCCGACATCATCGCTTTCACTGCAATTATTAAGTGCTTAGATTGTGACTATAACTTGTCTTGTTTTGTCTGACCAAGTAGTCTAAACGTTGATGCCCGGAATTAGTCCCTGTTGTTCGGGACGAGTAGACGACCACTTCGTTATTGGTCCCCACTCGCAGCTTAGTTGAACGGTAGTATGGCCACTTGAATCCGCTATCAGCCGATCACCGAAGGTCGATTCGAATTTGCGTAGGTGTGGGCGACATCACAGTATCCATAGCCGGCGCGCGACTGGTGGTGGTGGTGAGGGTTGCGTGACAATGAAGCGTCAGTGCAGTGTGTCGACGTATTACTGGGGCCATTCATCTCAAATCCTACCCCCTGAATGAACGAGGAACAAACTTACCGCACAACAGCGTAAACCGCCGACTGACACTGCGACGGTGAATCCCACAAGTGTACTGCGAACCACTGAGAACTGTTAGCTTTAAGATAAATCGTTTCTACTGACTCAACCAAAGGCACACAAATGGCCGTACACATGCGAACTCATGGCGCAGTTTGGTTAGTACTTTGGGAATCAGTTTGGCTATACGAGGGTGTTCGCTGCAATCCCACTTTGTTTTGTGAATGATACGTTGGTGCATTTTGAGGGAACAAGTTATCTTCCCGTAACATTCCCTGTCGGTAATAATTAAGCATCCTAGGCTATTGGCAATTCAACGGGATTCTCTGTATTAACTAGTTACGAGACGCTTCATCCAATCGGTGCATTCCCAAGATTGCTAGCGCGGCGTTCTGAAGATGAAGCGTATTCTTGGAGTCTAGTCCCGGTTCCCTACCCGTTGTGAAACCTTGTAGAACAACATATGCGCAGCGCGCTATTGTTGGCCGAAAACTGGCCACAGATGCCATTGAGATAAGAACACAGTTCTTACCCCCCCCCCCATTAAACTGTTAGCTGTCATTTGAATCCACCTTGGACATTTTGGCCATCGTAACGGGACTGGACCTTAGCGTGGTGCGATGGTTTGAGACCCACTGAGCCATGCTGGGTGGCACTTTCCAACTGCCTTCAGAGCTACTCATACCAGACAGGTCAATAATCAGGGGTCAGGCTAACCCAGTCTCACAATCCAATCCTCTTCAGAGAGGTCGATGGTCCTCTTCATTTAAAACCTAGCCATGGGAGACAACAAGTCTATGGGTTATAAGCTCAGCTAGAGAATCTCTGGATGAACAACTGAACTTATAAACTTGCTTTGTTGATCATAATAGTAGGACGAATTCCTTCTGAAGTTGCCTAGGGATAGTGATAGGAGAGCAGTGCAGCCCATGAGGGAGAATGCGTAAATTTATGAACTGATTACTGGTGGGAATCAGCAAGAAATGATATCTCTGTGTAGCTGCGTCTGATGTCATTCAGGTACAATGACCCGTTATGATAGAGTGCGCTCGATATAGTTTATGTCGACAGTGTTTGTGCATTAATTTCTTGAATTCCGACACCGACATTGTCTCAAATATGTGCTGCGGCAGGTTGTTCCATACATTCACCACTCCGTTCGAAACAGAGTTGGTGGGCAACTCGCTTCAATGCCGGTACTACAACTTTGTACCGGTGTTTTAGTGTGCTGCAAGGTGTGCGCAAATCCTGCGGCGGCCTTAACATCACCGAGATGTAGTATCCGGTGCGTCATGATGAAGTCGATCGCAATCGATGATAAGATGGAAAGCCCTCGTCTCTTACACCGGTCTTGATACAGCACACCTCGTAAATTGGGGATCAGTCTGGTGACCACATGCTGTACCTGCTCAGTCCTTTCTACCTCGTCCCGGGTGATATGACAGTGTGCGAGTGAGCCGTACTCTAGCACTGGTTTTATTATTGCGACGAACAGGCGAGTGGCAATCTCTTCGGACCGTGTGCTGAAGCTGCGCCTGAGCGCCCAAAGCATATGAAGGCCGTTTTGATAATGACTGTTCGTGTTGCCAATAGACTTTAGAGCGCAGCGTGAGAGTACCCCTTGGTCTCACACGAAAGAAGCGGGATGCAACGGTTGACCAGCCACAGTGTAGGTTCGACTGTGCTTGCACTTACCCAGCCTCATGAACTGTGACTTGACCGGGTTTAATGGGACGTTGACCTCTGCAGCGCACATGAAGAGGCGGCCGAGGTCCCGCTGAAGTAGGTCATAGTGCATGAATTACTCTCCACATCTTCAAGTCATCTACAAATCACGCACAGAGAAGCTGAGGCACATCGTTACTGTGGATCAGTAACAAAATGCGCCACATACAATGCCTTGGGATACACCACTGCTCGAGGGATACCAGTCAATCAGATGTTTATCGACCTGGATCATCCACTTTCGACCAACAAGAGGATTTCTGATCCATCGGTGCCGTGAGCCGCCAACACCCCACATCCTTAGCCTGTGGATTAGCACCTTATAATTCACCTTGTCAAAAGCCTTACTGAAGTCGATGTAGATGACGTCGATAGACTTGCGTTGGTTCAGCGCTAGCAAGCATTCATGCCTCGTTAACAGCAGGTTGGTGATGCATGAGTGATATTTTACGAAACCATGCTGTACGGGCGTCAAGAGGTACTGTGAGAGTCACCAGCTTGAGGTCACAAGAAAATTATGTGAAAGGTTACACTATATTCCACATGACCAACAGTAAAATTGGTATAGTGCTACAACGTATTGGAAATACAACGAACAAATGAAGGGAGATGAAAATACGGTGTTCATGGAAATGATGAATCACAACATGTCCGCCATTGCGCACGATTTCTTGCCAAATCCGAAAGTATTTCCAACCATGACTGTTCCGGATCCTTCACGCCCTAGCCAGGAATCCGAGAGCGCCCGACTACGGCTAACTTTGACGTTAACTCCTTCATGCTCCTGGCCCAATTCATACGTTGGCCACTTTGCTTTTGCTTCCACCCGATTTATGCGCGCGTAGAGGGCACGGCGAGTTAAATGATGAGTAGGCATGTGGAGAACATGCCCAAGGCATTGAAGTCTACGCAGTAACTATGCTGCTCAGTGACCGGCAAACTGTGTCTGATCTGAGAATCCTCCGTCGAACATCTTCATTACCAGTGTGGTGTTCCCATCGTACACTAGCAATGCTCCGAAGACAGCGGTGATCGAAAACAGACAGCCTCTCAACATTGTTTGCGCGAACTGGCCAAGTCTCACAGCCATATGGCAGAACTGCTCTCACTGTGGCATTGTAAACTCGCTCCTTCAGAGATAGACTGAACTCGCGTCGACGCCAGATGGCGGAGATTGGCAAAAGCAATCTGAGCCTTGGAGACTCACAAAGAGACTTCATCCGTTAAATGAGTAGCGCTGATGCAGCTTCCGAGGTAAACGAACTTGTCTATCACTTCCAATGAATGATCTGAAATGGTAAGGATAGGAGCAACGTCCAGTCAGTTCTGCAGCAAGACCTTGTACTTCGATGATGCGAAGGTCATTCCAAACTGAGGGACAAACAGCTCCAACCTACACAGGACATTTTAGGCGGCCTGTTAGGTATCGCAGATTACGGTAATGTCTTGTGCACACTCCAAATCCCGAAGTCGGTCCCCCGGAGGCAGCTCGACGCCGCTGGGTTCGCAATTCTCCAAAGCACTCTCCAGGATTTCGTCCATGGCGAAACTGAACATGAAGAAGGATGCTGGGCAACCCTGTCTCACGCCACTAGGGATACTAAATGGGGGCGAAAGTCCACCATACACCCACACTCAGCCCAAGGTTTGAGAGTAGATGACTTGAAGAACGGTGGCATACTCTTCGGGCACTTCCCTTCTCAGTAGATAACTCCAGAGAGCAGCTCTGTCAACTGAGTCAAACGCGGCTCATATGTCTAAGAAGACAACGATCGTTGGCCTGCCAAATGTTTGACGACGCTCAAATATTTGGCGGAGTGTAAAGATGTAGTCGATGCAACTCCGTCCTGAGCGAAATCCAGCTTGCACTTCACGCATACTTTGTTCGCGTACTAGGCTAAGCCTCCTCAAAAGCAGAGCACCTTGGAAGCAACACAGATGGCACTAATCCCTTTGTGGTTGGCACAGTCAGTTCGAGTACCCATTTTGAAGACGAGCACGATATCCGCGAGGCTCCAATCAGATGGGATAATTTCAGTGACCCAGATCTCTTGGAGAAGTTAACTTCAAGACAAGTGATGGATCTCCATCTTAGAAAAGAGTCGGAGTGAGTTCATCTGGGCCAGGTGCCTTGTAGCGTTTTAAAAAGCGGAGCT